AACCGTCGTAATAACCACAATTAATGATTTTTGGTCATTTCATGCAAGTCTAAAGCGTCTATTTTGGTAGTCATCTTGGCTTAGCACTACTTGTGCTGACGTGAAATGATATACTGCGATTTCTTCTCTTGCTCACACAAATATCTACACAGAATCATGTGTAGAACCAAGTTAAGCTTCAGTTTTTCTCTGTTCAAGAAAGCAAAAACAAGCAAAAATATTCATTGTGTGGAGGTTAGCACAAATACTAATAACGTAATTAGTAGTTTCCTAACCAGTTCACCTAGTGAAGTTTTTACAAAGTGATAACGCTAATAATGTAAAGGTGAGCTTCCTAATAGCTTAGTGAACTCTTTACAAAGTAATAACGCTAATAATGTAAAGGTGAGCTTCCTAATAGCTTAGCGAACTCTTTACAAAGTAATAACGCTAATAATGTAAAGGTGAGCTTCCTAATAGCTTAGTGAACTCATTACAAAGTAATAACGCTAATAATGTAAAGGTGAGCTTCCTAATAGCTTAGTGAACTCATTACAAAGTAATAACGCTAATAATGTAAAGGTGAGCTTCCTAATAGCTTAGTGAAGTCTTTACAAAGTAATAACGCTAATAATGTAAAGGTGACCTTCCTAATAGCTTAGTGAACTCATTACAAAGCAATAATGCTAATAATGTAATGTGTTAGCCTCCTAACAAGCTTATGTCACCTTATCAATAGTAATAGTATTAATAACTGATATACCATTCTAGTTTACATTCAAGGGCATGTATTAGTTCTTGGTATCTTCATCTGGAATGAATTGGCTAAATCGTTGTTAGCTTTAGCTGCAAGTGTCACCAAAGACAGAGAAAAACACTCTTGAGTTCCATGAGCTCTGTTTGTACCAAAAAACACAAAACCGGAACCTTCGGTACTCGACCAGTGGCCAACGCACAAAAGCATGGTTCCAGTTTTCTGGTGACAAAGGTTCTGGTACTTTGTGCAGTGGAAAAACGCTCAGAGAATAAAAGACAGAAGTGGTCATTCGCCTTTACACATACCTGAATAAAAGGCTTGACGGAGGTTGTGTATCACCCAGAAACGTTCCAGATTAAGGGCAATGTTCTGCTGTGATGTGTAACAGCACAGAAAGTCTGCCGCTGCTCTATTATTCTTTTTCGTGTTCATCTTTCCTGACTCCGTTTTGTGTTCTCTTCCTGCAGAACAGAAGCAGGGAGACCTGGCAGATACCGACACACACGTCTGCTCCCTCTGCTCTGCGTGTGTGTGCCTGTTCCCTGCGTGGGCGAGGAGAAGAAAAGGAGAGGACTCCCTCAGATTCATTTGCAGAATCCTGGGTAATCCCCCCCTCCTCCCGCCGCTCACGTCTCCTCTCATTCTCTTGCTCTTTTCATCTTCTGTCACTTCGCTTCCACTACTGCGGCAAACGCTCGGCCCACTTCCATTCCTAACACATTCATTCATTTCCCTCGCTTTCTCTCTCTCTCTCTCTCGCTCGCTCTCGCGTGTCTCCTTCTCTGCTCCAAAGCTGGTAAACATGTCCCCCTCGAGGGCCAGCGGGGACAGTCACGAGATTAAAAAAAAAACATGTCTTGCTTGATTGGTGGTTGAGGTGCAGAGCAGAGCTGCACAATATGGATCAAATACCATGTTGCAATTATACTGATACAACTTGCCATATATTAAATGGGCATTTAACAAGAATAAGGATTGGCCTGCATTATTTTGGCCTAAATTGCTTTCCACTGTTGGATCACCTGAATGTCTAAGTTCATGGTTTAGTCTGGGAACTGATGACATCTCATGGTGCACATAGATCAGGGGTCGGCAAGCCGCATATGGCTCCTTTACTGCCCTGTTGTGGCTCCACAGCAGAATTAGATTTGTATGTAAACATAAAATAATCATACTTTTCAGTAAAATAAAGCTTCGCTGATAGTTAGTTCTAACTTAGTTTTAACAAGCACTGACTTTAATGTAGAACTGCTAATTCACCAACCTTTAACCCTGAAGATTGGTGCACAGACTGCTGGTCACCACAGCAATGGAGATTAGAATCTGGCCTAGCTAGTAGCTAACGAAAAGGCAAAGAGAAAGATTTAAGACTAACATCGATAATTTGGAGACAAATGGACTTATTTGTATTCACAAGCTCGGCCGCTGGTTTCCTGATACGTTTAACGTTCGCCAGCTTCTTGTTCTAATTCTGCTGTTCCACCTTAAATGGCGCAGCAGTTACATTCTGGCGCTTCCGGCACTGTTTAAGGTGGAACCGAAAAATTCAAACAAGAAGCTGGCGAGTGAGAAGTGACTTCAGCCTCGTAAAAAATGTTGAGAGACATTTTACAAGAAAATATTCCTGTTGGAGACGCGAGAAAAGCAACTATAGCGTGTGAAGAGACGTCTGAAGAGTTTAATCCTCTAAAAGCCTCCCTTACACAAAGTTGTTAGATAAAGTGGTTGGGAATATGTTGCCTGATGTCTGAGATTTGCAACAGTTTTGAGAGATTTTGTCCTGTGTTTTTAATTCATTCATGGCGGAGAGGTACATGTAGTGCAAAATAATACCCAAAGAAAACTTCTTTTTTCAGATTTACCATTATTTTATCATCAACAACATTACATATAAACACTCAGAAGACACGTATAGATTCACTGGTGGTTATGGATAGTTAATAAAATGGCTATAATTGTGCTGTAAAGATTGTGACCCCTGGTTCCTATCAGCACCACTGTAAAGAAATCTGGGTCAGCAAGTTTCTCTAACATTGAACCATTTCACACCAAACCACATTGCTGGAATTCTTATTTTTAAGAAACTTTTGACTTTTTACTGATGTATTATATGTCATAATAACTGTATACAGTGATACGTGGATGACTGGAAGGCTAAGCTTTCTGCAAGATTTTTGATCAATCTGCAGCAAACAAGTGCTGTCGTACTTTGAGTGTCCAGTTTTTCATGACCTTAAACGGCTTGTGTGAATGCTGTGAGGAGGAATGTAGGAAGTTCCAAGTTCCAAGTTGTCATGAAAGATGTACTGAACATCAAAACAGCCAAAGGATCTCTGCCAAAGCTGAGGTTGTTCAGGATCATTACTGCACACATCGTGATTGATTAAACGGCTCATTTGCATAGTCCAGCCCATTGCAAAAGTCCATACTGCGATAATAATTAAACAATATGTAGTGCAACGGTATTATGGAGTCATTGGTGAAACAGGCAGTGAGAGAAAAGCACAGAAGAAACCCTTCAGTGGTTTTACATTAGCTGGTAAAAGCCATCTTTCTGAAGGATGAGCGAGGTGATTTTTCAGTGCGGTAAATGGCCGGACTCTCTCAGACTTAAGGAGCTGCCTGCCGTGCTTAATGTGAATTCTGAGTTCACGTCTCTCTGGAGACAGCTGCAGGGCTGAGGGAAGAGCTGCATTTTAAACAGCTCCGGAAGAGTGGAGCGCACGCAGTATTGGGGTTAAGAGCTCACCCTAAACGCTAGCAGTCTTCAGCACTGAGAACACAGATCACATCCCCATATAAGAGCTGATATCCTGATATCAGGACTTAACCTAATGTTTATATGGGCAGGAGAAATGTTGAAGCAGAAGATGCTGAACCCACACTTTAAGAGCTACACGCTTAAAAAGATGGTTCTTTGAGGGTTCTTTAGTAAAGGCAATGCTTCTATTTAGAACCACGAGGTCTATACAGAACCTTTTCATGCTTAAATGGTTCTTTGCATGGTGAAATGGTTCTTCAGATTGATGGAGAATGTGGAGTTTCCAAAACTTGAGTTGAAAAAATGAAAGGTCAGTTTGCGGGAGAGTGATTAAGCCTAGTCCTGGACTAAATGGCGTTCTGAATATAATTCTCCAGTGAGTCCACAAGTCCAGGAAACCGACCCTATCAGATCTAGAGCAAATGGGATTCCTAAGGGCTGTGCAAGACCTGGTCCCCATCAGATAAACAGCACTTAAAGCTTTCGTCTTTGACAGAGAGGAGAAAATCAAGCTCCACTCCTGCGTTGGATCTGAATAAATCCACAGCCATCGCTTCAGTGTTAGACGAGATCTCAAAAACAGAAGAATGTTGCAAATCAAACAAAGAAGCTGTTAGAGTTCTTAATATCATTAATATCATTAAATATGTTAAGGATTAGTTGGATTAAATGAAGAAAAGGCCATGCAACCAACTTCTACGACTGAACTTTGGAGGTGTGGAAAAATATCCCAGCAGATATCTTTAAGGGCGTTTTCACACTTGGGCCGTTTCAGCGTCTGAAGTGGACTCAGACCGCTGAGTCATGGTTTCTTTTGCATATGTGAACACGCCAAACGAACTCAGACCCCCCTAAACGGCCCCAAAAATCGTTTCAGCGCGGCCAATAGGAGAGCAGCAGGCGGGTCTGGTGCTTCTTCTCGTCACCTGGTAGGTCGGATTTATCAGAGAACGCGGCCCACTTGGCGAGCGCTGTGCACACCGTGAGTGCTGTGAAAGGGGTCCGAGTTCTAATGGAGCTGTGGTCTGAACAAGAAGTGTTCTGAGATCTCAATGGACCAGAAAGAAGACTGAGTCCTCTTTAGAGTTCACTAACATTGTGAACACAAAAAGAAGAGGTCACTTGCAGTCGGTTCCCTTTAACAGAACTCGGTTCGGTTCTTTTAAAATGAACTATATGTGAAAACACTGTAAAAAACTGAAATCAAGTCTCCTGAAAAGAACGGAAGCTGTAATAAACACTAGGGGAGACACACTCAATGCTGAAAAAAATTATATTGTATTTAGTTGTTGAGGCTTCTGTGAAATTTTCTGTTAAATATCTGTTTATATTAAATTACCTACTTGTACTTAATGGCAATATTGATTGGAAATTGGTCTGATGTAGTGGTGACCACTAAGAGTTCATGTGGGCATGTGCCATTCCACACCAAGTACTTTCTCTTCCAATGAGCTCTTAGTTGGAACAGTAGTGCTGGCTGAGGGGAAGGTGGGTGGAACTTACCAGCAGCCTGTGTGCAGAACTCCACTGAGATCTCCCTCTTCTCCCTCTGCTCTAGTGGCAGCTGCCAGGGCATCTGGTGAGGCTTGGCCACAACCCGCACCTTGTACATGGTCACGGACTTCAGGTTGTAGAAGCGGTACCTATAGCTGCCCGGCTTGACCACGTCGTATTCTGCGTCGTTGAGGAAGATGGCGTGGCTGTAGTTGCTGTTGCTGGGCATCCAGGACAGCTCGGCTGAGGTTTGGGTCACGTTGTCCACGCGCAGGCAGTGCGGCGCCACCACCACATCCTTCCCCACCAGCAGGGTGCAGCGCAGGGGGTCTGAGGGGCCACGGTCTGTCACGCTCTGCACCGAAATGCGGTGGGCACAGGTGGCTAGGTTGAGCTTCTCAATTAGCGACTTGGTGCGGGTGCCGAACGGCACGCTCATGCGCACCTCCTGGTCTACCAGAACGTTATAGCCGCTTATGGACCCCCAACCAGGCGGCACCACCGGAGGATCCCAGCTCACGATCACGCTCTTGGCTAACTGCTTGATGAGAGTGATGCGGCGGGGGTAAGGCACTACGTCTTCTCCAATTTCATCAATGCTAAGGTCTAGAGTGGCAGTACCAGAGCCATTACTGCAGGGTCCCAGAGGGTCCCCTGAGCCCAGGCTGTGGTGACCCAGGCCTAAGCCTAGGCCTAAGCCCAAAGTAGACCCCAAGCTAGGCCCCAGACTGCTAACTCCACTGCTGCTGCTGGTTCCCGTGCCTGTGCAGGAGCCTAAAGCCTCCAGCTTCTCGGACAGCAGAGTGCTTAGTGTGCTTACGGCGCTGCTGCTGCCCAGAGAGGCTGGGCTGTGGTTGAGGTAGGACGATTCTTTCAGGCGCTCCGACAGTGAAGTGGAGAGAGGGTCCTCGTCCTGGACAAAGTCCACAAAGTTGGAGGGGACGAGGCCCTGCTGGCCGTCCAACAGCTCCCCTGATAGGGAAAATGGGCAGGGGAGAGAGAAAGACAGACGTCTTATAAAGAGCACACTTTGACATGAATGGGTGGGCTAAACTGCTGTAGGCCAAATGGGTGGTCATATGTAAATGTATTCATGGTTATAACATCACATGAATTCCAAATGGGCTGTTTTTGCAGGGTAGTTTCCATATATGGACTGTATGGACTGTGGAGTAAATATTTGAAACATAAAATAATAAAAATAGTGTCTTCATTTTATAATCATTCTTTAGTATCACACCGACTGTCTGTCAAGTCAAAAGATAACTATTATTCATGCCACAGAAGCTGGATGATTGTCCATGTAAAAAGTTCTCTAGTCTCTTCTAGTTGTACCTTCATAAAAGCCGTCCTCATCCATGGTCCCGTAAATGTAGAGATACTTCCCAGCCACCAGGGGGAGCTCTGCCTCTGGGTGCTCATTGGGGCCATCGTATGGATTGTAACTGAGGACAGAAGAAACAGTTATTGTACAAATACTCAATTCACCTAATTGCAACATTACAGCTCGTATTACAGCTGTTAGATACTCACTTATAGCGGGCAACGCACAGTCTGACTTTGCCTGTGAACCTAGGCTTAGCGCGGGGGGACAGGTTGAGCTCTTTGTCCATCTGAAACAGAGAGAGAGAGAGAGAGCGAGAGAGAGAGAATTAATGAGGGGTGGGTGGGATTCAGGCAATTAATGTCATTCTTAATGTACAAGTCTATTGCTAGTGAGCTGATTTAGGCTTCAGCAGTACAGAATGGGCACAGTGGAAACAGAACCATGACAGCTCAGTTATGACTGAATACTGAATTCACATTTACGCACCATTACGCACAGAGTGTGTGTTGTGTAACGTCCAGTGCAGTGTGAATTTTGTAATGTTCAGTGCAGAGTGTGTATTGTGTGACGTCCAGTGCAGAATGTGTATTGTGTAATGTCCAGTGCGGAGTGTGTATTGTGTGACGTCCAGTGCAGAGTGTGTATTGTGTAATGTCCAGTGCGGAGTGTGTATTGTGTAAAGTCCAGTGCGGAGTGTGTATTGTGTGACGTCCAGTGCAGAATATGTATTGTGTAATGTCCAGTGCGGAGTGTGTATTGTGTGACGTCCAGTGCAGAATGTGTATTGTGTAATGTCCATTGCGGAGTGTGTATTGTGTGACGTCCAGTGCAGAATATGTATTGTGTAATGTCCAGTGCGGAGTGTGTATTGTGTGACGTCCAGTGCAGAATGTGTATTGTGTAATGTCCAGTGCGGAGTGTGTATTGTGTGACGTCCAGTGCAGAGTGTGTATTGTGTAATGTCCAGTGCGGAGTGTGTATTGTGTAAAGTCCAGTGCAGAGTGTGTATTGTGTAATGTCCAGTGCGGAGTGTGTATTGTGTAACGTCCAGTGCAGAGTATGTATTGTGTAATGTCCAGTGCAGCGAGTGTACTGTGTAATGTCCAGTGCAAAGTGTGTATTGTGTAATGTCCAGTGCGGAGTATGTATTGTGTAATGTCCAGTGCAGCGAGTGTACTGTATAATGTCCAGTGCAGCGAGTGTACTGTATAATGTCCAGTACAGCGAGTGTACTGTATAATGTCCAGTGCAGCGAGTGTACTGTGTAATGTCCAGTGCAGCGAGTGTACTGTATAATATCCAGTGCAGAGTGTGTATTGTGTAATGTCCAGTGCAGCGAGTGTACTGTGTAATGTGTCCAGTGCAGCGGGTGTACTGTGTAATCACCAGTGCAGCGGGTGTATAATGTAATGTCCAGTGCAGCGGGTGTACTGTGTAATCACCAGTGCAGCGGGTGTTTTGTGTAATGTCCAATGCAGTGAGTGTATTGTGTAATGTCCAGTGCAGAGTGTGTATTGTGTAATGTCCAGTACAGAGGGTGTATTGTGTAATGTCCAGTACAGAGGGTGTATTGTGTAATGTCCAGTAATGAGGGTGTATTGTGTATGTCCTGCGTGCAGTATGTATTGTGTATTGTCCAGAGTGCAGTGTGCAGTATGTGTTGTGTAATGTCCAGTCTGCAGTGTGCACACTGGACATTATGGGTGATTAAGCATGGCAGACTGGTGTGTATGGGTGCCAAAAACAGCAGCAGGACAGTCTGAACAGATTGGACCATTCACACCCTCAACTCTCTCTACCCCACACACACTCAGCCTGGCTCCATGTTTATGGGAGAAATAAAAATGGTTATTAACAAGGTTCCTGTTGTGACTGTGGTTATTAATTTAGTTGACAGATGTTATTTTTCAGTACGTTCTCAGTGTGAGCCATCCACAAACGCTGTGGTTAGAGACTCTACTGTTCACATCAAGTGAAAGGAACACTGTCCAGAAGCCTCGGTGGCCACAGAGAACCATCCTTCTTTTACTTAGTGTCCAGTCAAACTAAAAAAAAAATTATTTTTTGGTGTCAGAAAAAAGAAGCCTCACCTCAGCAAGTTTTTCAGTATTCACTGTGTCCACTCTTTACCTTTATTACAGCTTCCAGTCTTTTCAGGAGACTCTTTTCAGTTTCTCAAAAAGATCTGCAGGGATGTTTTTCCACACCTCCAAAATTCAGTCAACTTGTATTTTCTGCTTCTCACAGTCCAATGAATCCCAAACACATTCAGTGATGTTGAGGTCTGGACTCTGGGGTGGTCAGTCCATTATTCAGCTTCTTTGTTTGATGTGTCCGTCTCCTTTTCTCAGTGAGGTTCTTCTTGAACAGCTACACATCCTTTCAGACCCACAGCGCTGAGTCGTCTTCTCACAGTGGAAGGATGGACAGAAACACCTGTGGATGTTTTCAGATCTGAAGCAGCTTGATTTTCTCCTCTCTCTCAGAGATGAAAGCTTTAAGTGCTGTTTATCTGATGGGGGCAGTGTTGGTGGTCTACCAGGTCTTGCATGGCTGTTAGGAGTCTCATTTGTTCTGGAGCTTTTAATCGTTTTGAAACATTAGATTTTTCTTAGATTTTTTCTCTACTTATGCAAGTGGATTATCTTATATCTAATATCCTCAGAAACATCTCCTGAAAAATGAATAACCTGTATGTAATGACCGTTTTGACTGTAAATAATTAAAGGCATGGTCTCTGACAGAGGACTGCACATCTTAAAACACCTCTTCATACATTTTATTTAATTAGTTTCACTCTTAGCTCACTGTAACAAGGAAAGAAATTGATTTCAATTTGATAAAAAAGTAATTGTTATGAATGCTGTTTTGTGGAAAGAAAAACCCTCTTATACACTGTTGACATGTTTTTGTCAAACAAATAAAAAAAGTCAGAGTTACAAGCTAAAATCTATAGATACAGAATGTGAACTGAATGTAATTCAACTCAATACTTTATCACATAACTACATAATTAATTATGTAATTATGCATTTAGATATAACTAGTTATGTGATATAAATGGAACGTATGGCAAAGTTAAAAAAAATCTCCAGGGTTAATGTTTAGAATATTCACTTCCTTTAATCTTAGACGAGGCTTAACCTGGGTTGAAAAACGATTCCTTTATGGGTTTGTGAGTCTGTAAAAATGATCAAAAACTCAAACGGTTTATTTGCCGTGCACTGGAGCCAAAGTTCAAGGCCGACAGACTGATGAATGTTTTTATTGCTCGGCCGATCGATCGGGGGGACTCACAGCAGCAGCGATGACGGGACGGACCTCAGAGAGGAAGGCCCGGCGGGGGCTGGACGGCGTGCTCCGGGACAGGAAGCTGGGTTTGACGGACAGAAGCTCCGCCTTCTCCCCCCCGCTCATCTGTAGAGGCCGGATGAACTCCGAAATCACAGACTTGCTCAGGGAACCTTCATTACCTGCACCGCAACACACAAACACATATAAATACGTTTACACTTATCAACGTCAGATGGAGTTTATTTAACCCATTGAAAGGCCAGGGGCTGCCGCCTGGGCCCAGGTGTCCATTCCTCACTGCTGCAACTCAGGAATAACTCAATCTGTTTGCACAATTTTCAATGTATTTCCTGAAAAATAAGCCTTAGGATGTGATAAGCCTGGGATTTTAAAGAGTTAAATAGGTAAACACTATGTTGACATTGTTTCTGCCTTTAAGCTAATGAGTAGCACATGCTAATGTGACTGGGAAACACTCTAAACTGCAATACTTTCAGTTCCTCATTTAAATAAGTTAACACACTGACTTTGTATTGACCCTACAGGCAAATCAAATTTTGCAGGGTTATTTGACTCAGACGGGCTATTTTGTATTCCTTCATCTCACGGTTAATCTTCCCTCCAAAACATGCTGAATAAGGTCGTGATTAAGGGGGAATTCCACCAATTTTTCAAAATTGATGCATAATTCAATTTAACAAAGTCATTCAGAGTGGTCTGATGTGAAGTGGTTCATTGTAGAGAAACTTACTGACTGATTTCTTTACAGTGGTGCTGATAGGAACCAGGGGTTATGAAGTCTACAAGACAAATACAGCCTTTTAATTTATTATCTAAAATGACCAGTGAACCTCCATATGTTTTATTTGTAATGTTAAAAATAGTCAAATAAAAAGAAAATGCCTTTGGGCACTATTTTGCCTTTCAATGCCCAGCATGCACCTCGTCGCTCTGAATGTCTATGTCTCAGACAAAGGGAGGCGTATTTGTAATTATTTTATGTTATGAGGCATTAAACTCTTCAGACGTTTGGTTCCTATCACAACCACTGATTTGATAAGTTCGCTAAAAAGGAGCTTTTCATATCACACCAAAAACCAGCAGAATGACTACTCAACTATTTAATTATGTGGGAAAAATCTTATTTTTTCTTACTCTGCAATGCGCTGCGATGACAGAACATGACATCACATGTTCTTATAAATGTATTTGCGCAGAAAATTTGAAAAATGGATGAAATTCCCCTTGTGATTTAGTTACTTAATGGTTTTATTTAACATTTAGAGAGTTTTCTATTGATAAAATAGTGCATGAATAGTAAGCAAAGTTTATTTATATAGCGCTTTTTACAACAGGTGTTATCACAAAGCAGCTTTGCAGAAAACTCTGGGTCAAAGCCCCCATGAGCGTCGCCAGTGGCGACAGTGGCAAGGAAAAACTCCCTAAGAGCAAGAGCAAGAACCGGTCGACACCGGATAGCAAACAGCGTTAGTATAAAGTATTATAGTACAAAACGGGGAAAACAGGTGGAGCAATGGTTAATTAGATTAGTTTTAGTTTATGCAGCAGCAGCAATAGCAGCAGCAGCAGCATCGGGAGGGTCAGTTCATGAGGGTGAGGTTTGCACAGCGTTGTACAGCATGAAGCTCAATGGTGGTCAAGCAGGTCCAGAAGGCTGGCGAGCAGTGAGCAAGGCAGACTAAATCATACTAAATCTGAATACTAAATCAGACATTTAATTAAGGTATAACAATCTGAATGTGTCTGTGAAGCAGTTAAGTTGTATGCTTGTAAGTTGTGTGTATATATATATATGTATGTATATATATATATATATATATATATATATATATACACACGATTCTATATAGAACGTTTTTGAAAAACTAAAATGGTTCTTCTACTGTTACAGGCTTGACATCATAACAACAGCAGAACCCTTTTTGGTACAACATAGAACCCTTTTCAGAAAGGTCAATCTGAAGATGCAAAGAGCCCTTTAATCATTCAAAGGGTTCTTTGAGTGTGTACGGTTCTATATATATAACCATTTTTACTAAAGAGCCCTTGAAGAACCATCATTTTTAAGAGTGTATACTAAAGCAGTGAGAAAGAACAGCAGGATAATAGATCAAAACGATCAGATGTTCATACACGAGCAAAATTTTGAGCAGCTTCTTGAAGGTTGCAAAAGACTGCAAGACAAATAGAGGAAGGGAGCTCTTTCCACCATCGAGGAACCCTGTATAAGAAGTGATATACCACACCGTACTCAGAAACTGCTGACATATTCGTAGTTTTAATAGGACCTGCAGTTTCCTGGTGTGCGAATAAGGGAACAACACAGGTATTCCATCTCAGAGGGGATTCACTAATGACAGCTGACGATGATGAGCAACTCTTCTGCTCCAGCAATTCATGTATAACCGAACGCACAGTCTGTCCACCGGTCTATCCATGACTCCATCCATCTCCGCAGCTAATCATCCGTACGTCTGGCCCGTCTCCTGCTAAAGGTCAGCGCGAGCGTCAGGCGTGTAAGCAGCGTGCAGTGGGAGGTAATAACCACAGTAGGTAAATGAGGCTGACGTGGAAGCGAGGAAATGGCAGCGAAATGGGCTGATTGATGGGTTCATTACAGAGTGTAGACTCTATTTCCATCTCTCGTCCTCACCAGACCAACACATCCCATCTCCATTGAGGAATGGACAAACCTAGCACTTCCTCTTCTTCCTTAGAAAAAAGATGGTCTTTTCTAACAGGCTGCAGATAAAAGCTATATAGATTTTACTGCAAAATATGTTTACATTTGCAACTAGCAGAGGGGGAAAATATGAAACTAACCATTTCTTACAATAAAATGAAGAAAATTCTTAGACATCTACACTTCTACTCTGTCCACTTCATCAGAAACACCTACTTTCAGGGATGCTGGAAGTGGTGGGGGGGCTGATTTCAGTATTGCAACTGTTAAAAATAATAAAATATAATCAACAATAAGGGGCAGCATGGTGGTGCAGTGGGTAGCGCTGTTGCCTCACAACAAGAAGGGCCTGGGTTCGATTCCCAGCCGGGCGACCGGGGTCCTTTCTGTGCGAAGCTTGCATGTTCTCCAGGTCTCCCATTTTCCTCCCACAGTCCAAAGACATGCAGTCAGGCCAAATTGCCCCTAGGTGTGAGTGTGTGTGTGCATGTGTATGTCTGTCTGTCTGCCCTGCGATGGACTGGCGACTTGTCCAGGGTGTTTATTGCCTTCTGCCCAATGACTGCCGGGATAGGCTTCAGCTTCCCCCGCAAACCAGAAGGATAAGCAGCTTAGAAAGTGTATATGTGTAGAAATAAATAATAAAATGCTCTGAACATTCTAATAATTTGAGCGTGGTATAGAGCCATGTTTATTTTTATATTTAAAAAATCTGCAGTAGCTGCAATGTTTATGTGTCAAACACAAGGCCCGTGGGCCAGATCAGACCCTCGGAACAATCTTATCTGGCCTGTGAAATTATTTTGATTTTTTGTTAATATTAGCCCATTTCAAAATGCTCTGCACTTCAATCCCCAGCATGCACTACAACACAATGTACCCCCTCCTCAACAACAATCAATATACATGTATTGACATTTTGGCATATTTTGTATAAATAATGGCCAGTTCAAGTTTTAATATGGCCCTTTTAGTCATTGAGTTTGACACCCCTGGTCTAAGTAAACGCCATATTTTTATCACAAAGAGCTGAAAACAGCTGGACACATGCAGGTTGAGCTTCAAAGAGAGAAAGTGTGTGCAGAGACAGAGGCCTGTTCTGACCAAAGCCGCCTAATATTGTTTTTTAAACTTTAAAAAAGTCATCTAACATAATACTGAAGCTTTTTATCAACTATTATTCTTCTCTCTATATATAATTTATAACTATTATTATTCTGTGTGTGTTTCAGTGTTAAATCTCACTGTAAGGCTGTGGGTGTGACACAATCAGTTACTGTACCACATCAACAATCTGATCGGTTGGCACTCAGCTCATTTGCATAAAGTTCGTCCAGAACTATAGAGTGCTGATGTGTGTCAGTGGTTTGATGTGTCAGTTATATCTTCATATTGTCCTCTCTCGCTTCAATACTGCACTGTGTGACACGCCCAGTGTGAATTAGCCAAATAAAAAAAGAATCAAATGAAAAATTGCAAATCAGCACACGATAGTTTCGCACTCACCCTTCCCCGCGGGGGCCGCCAGGCCATTGAGGAGCTGGGAGAGCGAGGGGGTTTTGGTGGGAGAGCCGGGTGAGTCACCCCCTGACAGCTGGCTGGAGCTCAGGATGTCAAACTTTCCGGCCTGAAGTCTGAACTTCTCCAGCTCTTTAGAGAGCAGATTAAACTGCTCACTCTGAGTCCGGCATCTCTCCTCCAGCTCCCTCACTTTAGCCTGCAGAGAGAGAGAGAGAGAGAGAGAGAGAGAGAGAGAGAGACAGAGAGAGAGAGAGAGAGAGAGAGAGAGAGAGAGAGAGAGAGAGAGAGAGAGAGAGAGTGAGAAAAAGACAGAGAGAGAGAGAAAGAGAGGAGAAAAAAGAGGAAAAGAGAGAGAGAGAAAGAGAAACAGAGAGAGAGACAGGCAGAGAGAGACAGAAAGAGAGACAGAAAGAGGAAGATGTGGGGGGAGGGAGGTCATAAAGAGAGAGAGAGATACAGAGAGAGACAGAGAGACAGAGTGAGAGAAAGTGAGAGAGACAGCGAGAGAGAAAGAGAGAAAGAGAGCGAGATCAGAAAGAAAGAGAAAGACAGAGAGAAAGGAGAGAGAGGTGTAAGGAGAGAAAAGGGTAGGGAGGTCACAAAGCAAGAGAGAGAAAAACAGATAGATAGATAAAGAGAGGGAGTCAGAAAGAAAGAGAGAGAGAGAGAGAGAGAGAGAGAGAGAGAGACAGAGATGGAAAGACAAAGAGGAAGAGAGAGAAAAAGTGAGGAGAGAAACAGAAACAGCAAGACACAAATGAGAAAGAGGCAGAGGGGAAGAAACAAAAAAAGCAAGAGCGAGAGAGAGAAAGGGCAAGAGAGAGAAAAAAGAAAGGAGAGAGAGGAGAGAGAGAGATACACTTCTTATGTGAATAAACTACACATGTAAAAAACTGCTTAGCTATTAATGAAGCGCACTACAGCTCAGGCTGAACCTACTGACATTCTCCCAACAGAAAAATGGACTGTATGCACTTTAAGTCGATCTAGGACAAAAATTAGAAGCAAACAAAACTCCAGATCTACCAGCGCCACTGTTGTCTCTAGATGCTCTAAATTAAAAGCATCAAGTGTTATTTCTGAGCATTAGCTTCCACTTCTAATGGACTATTAGTGGAAAAAGGTGAGTTGTGCTGAATGTGGATGACCAGTATAAACAACGATGGCAGCCGCACTTTAGCTAACAGGTTTTTCTGCCCACTAAAGAAGACCATGAGCTTGTTTTTTATATATCAGCATATATGGAGCCAAAATCAAGAGAACTGCAACAAAGGCAAGAATCCATATGAGTTGGAGAAGAGCTGTACACAGACACAGCCTGATTTCATGGCCTGACGTAGCTGTGTACTTAACGTTACATATCGCTGAACAATCAAACATAACCTAAATGCCCTCTTTACTCCAAACGTAGTCAGTAATGCCAAGTTTGGTGTTTGAATTTTGGCTCTTTAGTTTTGCACTGGTGCTACGAGGCTAATGTAGCTAAATTACTGGTTTCAGTGAAGTAAAAAATGTATAGATTTTCCATCCTCCAGCTATGAGGCTAACATCTCTAACAAACACTAGAAGTCAATAATCACACAAATCTTTTTCATGAATACAAACGTCCCTAAACTCACTCAACACTAGAAACCAATAGTCACCCAAATCCTTTACACATCCCCAAAACGTCTCTCAACCAGCTAAAACTACATCCAGCTCTTCACTAACCTGCCAATGCTGCTTAGGACACAGTATGACTTACTGTGAACTATAAAAATGAACAAAACCTCAAAGTGGAGCCGAACGTTAGGGGGCGCCATTTTAACACTGCCCTAAACAACACAGACAAGTCTGCACAACCTTAGTGAAGAACTGGATACGGTTTGAGCTGGTTGAGAGAAGTTTTGGGGATGTAAAGGATTTGGGTGACTATTGACTTCTAGTTCTTGTTAGCAACATTAGCCTTGCAGCTCCAGCACTAAAGTAAAGAAGCAAAATTTGGACATTCAAAATGTCTTGGCTGATTAACTACATCTGAGGTAATTCTGTGGTCTAGCTCTCTGTTAGCTGAACACACTTAGCCATAGCCAGGAGCTGCTACCATGAATTCTGTCTGTTCTTTTCTCCATGAGTATAGATAACAGTCTGTCGTACAGTGTCAGAAATATTTGAGATTTCTTAACAACTCAGCATGGTTTTTTTTAGGCATGCAGCTTGGTGAGGTATTAACTTCCATTACTTGTTAGCAACATTAGCCTTATAGCTTCAGCACAAAACTACAAAAGCCAAGTTTTTTGATATTTTGTCAAACTATTACTTCAATTCCTAAGCTAAATCAAAATGCAACAGGTGGTATACATTCCTCAAATCACTACACGCAGCTTCTAAGCGGGCGGGGGGGATTAATCACGTCGCATCGACAGCCAAGGCTGAGTTGAACTAAGCTAAGTGGGTAAGGTACAAGCACATCTTACAGAACGTGTACACAAATCAATAAAAGGGGGTTTTAAAAGGAAGACGGGGGTATAAGGTATGTGTTCAACACTCGATCTGACAACAGGCCTCTTGTCTGAGTCTGCTGGGTGTTCAGTTGGGACACCAACAGGCTCAGCACAAAGAGGGGGCCATGCAAAATGAGTAAAGGGGTCAGGCAGTGCGTTTTGTGGGATCACTGACGGCATTTTAGCTCCACAATCATCTAAACCCTCTCACAAAAACCTGCTCCAAACTCATTCATCTCTTGTTACAAGGCTCCTCCGGCCACAGTTTTCAGGTTTTGTTGATCAAATAGTTCTGCAAAAAAATCAAATGTAAATATGTTTATCCTTAGCATAAGCACAGCCAATCAGCCAAGACATGTTTGGTGTCTGAAGTTTGCTTCTTCAGTTTAGCACTGGAGCTACAAACCTATTGAAGCTTATACCCGACCAGTTAGCAATGAGCTAACTCACCATTCCAAAAACAGTGTTGTGTTGCAAATAAGTCTCAAATAAACTGACTTAACCCTGCTGAAAAAACATCACAGGGGCCTTAAAAGTGTCTGTTGGCTTCTGGTGGTGTCCAGTAGTCGCTAATGGTATTGTGCGTTTTCCTGATGGGTTGATATCACAGTGTAAAGGATGCTAACGGTTTAACGGGTGTCTTTTTTCAGCAGGGATGTGGTTTCTGAGGCTGTATGTCAGACTGTTATCTATAGAAATAGATGCCACATTGCTAACAGTGTTTGTCGCTAAGCTAAAAACAGTAGCAGCAGCCATTTTGAAGCTAATATATTTGCCCATTTTACTTGTTAGCTACATTAGCTTCACAGCTATAGTGCAAACCATAGATATACATACATAGACGCCACGTTGTCTGTTGTTCTCTATCTGAGGCGATACGTCTGCGCGTCCGCCATGTTGGAGCGGTCAAGATCCGCTTGTAAACAAATTCACTTGTGTTGAGAGACGAAGAGTCTCAGGATTAAATCAGCCACAACTTCCTTATTACTCAACCGATTTTCACCAAATCTGTTTTGTTATAATCCTCAGACACAGATTAATCCAGGGCTGCACGGATCTGCTCTCAGTAGCTTTTATTTCTTTAATAACTGATCATGATAATTAGCCGTCCGGACCAGCAGGAAATTATTCAGTCTGCACCTGACGTTGAAAACCGAATTTAGTGTGAGAAACACAATCAGACACATCAGCAGATCCATCAATGTGTGAATCACTTCTAATCTTAATGCACATAAAAATAAAATAAACCCCCTAAAACACAGTAAGAAGGATGAAGCTAAAGCTGGCTTCCTATTCGCCAGCTTCTCCTTCAAGTTTTCACATTCCACCTTAAATGGTGCAGCATACTTTCTGGGGCCTGAGGATGCACCATTTAAGGTGGAACGGGAAAATTCGAACAAGAAGCTGGCAAATAAGAAGCTAACTTCAGGTTCATGTAAGAAGGTGCTAAAATTAATCTATTACGAATATCTACATGGATTAAGGAATGCTATAACTTACTGAGCTACAAAGTATTAACCATCATTGTAAAGAGGAAAAACATTAACAGGTTTTCTGTGCCTCACCAACCACACAGCCATCTCTACACATGAACATCACACAAAACTGAGCGTGGATCGCTGCGTTTCCTCCGTTATATAATCCTATGCCGCTTTCTGAGAGCAATATTCTTGAAATAGTGTAATTTTGGACAGTATCTTTCTTAAACTGCTGCTCTGTAATGGTACTGAATGCAGTCCAACAGCAATGTTGCCCGCCTCCAAAATGGTGGTGCAGTTGGCCTGCCTGGCTGGACCCAACGCGGCATCTAGGTATGTATGTCTATGGTGCAAACCTAATGAAGCAAACTTGGTTGACTGACAATATTTAAAGTAAAGGCAAAATATGTTTTTAAAATTAGATTTTTTTTTGGCCGAACTATTCAAGCTGTTAACCACTGCGATGTGATGTGTTTACAGGGTAAAAGACAACAGTAGTGAGTAAAACCAGATAAAAAGCAGGAGGTACAGAAGGTGAAACAAGAGACGCTCAGTAGGCCATTCCTGTTGCAGAAGGGTCTTGGGTTTGGGCTACTCTTTCTTCAGGACAGATTATATAAAAAAAAACGCAAATGACATCAAATGCCTTGAACAGAAAGAGGTGACCAAAAGGCTAAGAGGGCTATTAAACTAAAAGAATGATGGTATACACTTCATGGACTCCACATATTAGCCCCTTTCACTCTGTTATAGTGTCAAAAACCCAATCAGGAATCGCTGCAAGTGGCCAGCCTGTTTTATTACTGCAATAATAGAAACCTCAACAAGAATAAGAGAATATCCCAGGTGGAAAGAGGACTGCAAACCACATTAGTCATACATTTTATATCTAAAATTATGACATTTGTGTCGTTTTATGTACCAAAAGCAGCCATAATAATAGTTTATATGATCATTTTCAAACCTCTTTTTGTTCCACTGAATTGCACTCCTAATAGCTTCAATGTGAATGAACTACTAACCTGCTGTAGGCTTAACAGGTGCATGTAAAAGTTGTTTTTTTGTAACAACACATAAAACACAGCAAACAGCAAAATAAAAAGTAAACAGTAGAAGAACACAGTAACTTGCTTTCTTATGTTGAAAGTTGAGTCATTAAAAGCACAGACTGGTTTTAACTGTAAAGACTAGTAAAAATTAAAATATATATAGAACATAGAATATATAAAATATAGCTTAATATTTTATCAAGAATACTCAAGTAAACTCAAGTAAAAGTAAAAGTAATTTAATTATAGTCAAAAAAATATTGTTTTCTGACTATAATTAAATCAAACAAAATAGAACATATACGTGACAGTATCTAGCGTAATTAAGAGCTGATGTGCTTTGTGGTCTTGAACAGCAAAAAAAAGGAAACAATAGAAGAACACAGTAACTATTTAGCTAAACTTAGTTAGCCAGCTAGCTTCTTGCTTCCTCATGTTGAAAGTTGAGTCATTAAAAGCACAGACTGGTTTTAACTCTAAAGACTAGTAAAAATTAAAATACAAAGCTTAATATTTTATTAAGAATACTCAAGTAAAAGTAAAAGTAATTTAATTTAATTATAGTCAAAAAAGTATTGCTAGATGAATTGTTGTACTCAGGTTCTGTGACAAGAGTAAAAAGAGTAGTTCATCGTTTATTCAGATCCAAACCTTCTATAACATCTATTTCGCTGCTGTCGGACCAAAACCTCATATCTCCATTTTTGTTGTTTTTCAGTTTTTGCCATAATTAGAAAATATCTACTGTCCTTTATATTGTGTATAAACTTTAAGATGAATGGACCAAAAGAAACGGCCCACAATGACGTCTAGTTCCATTGACTTACATTAAAACTAAAGTATGTTTTTTCCTTCTCCTCTAAAGTTACCATTTTGGAGATATGAGGTTTTGGTCCAACAGCAGCGATTTTGTTTGTTTGTTTGTTTGCTTATTTAACATAGTTTGACAACTCCAGTTGCCCTTTATATTGAGCATTCCACAATGTATGGACCAATAGAAATGGTCCAAAATTGCTTGGAAAAAAAGAAACTTGTTACATTCAGTTATATTAAAAGTAAAGAGTGTTTTTGGCTTCTCTTATAATGTATAATAATTTGGAGAAAGGAGAATTTGTTCCAGCAGCAAAGACTTTAACTTTTTACTTTCCACCTCTGGAAAATGCACAATTTAAATGTATCTGTATAAGTGATGAATCTGGTTCAGCGACGCCTGATTGGGTGTTTATGACATGAATTAGTGAAAGGTTGTTAGTTGTTTAGCGTTACGCACACATCGTCATGAACGGCTGTGTTAGGCTTTCAGGGTTGTGGAAAGTTTTCTTCATAAATGTGAAGAAACAAATGAAAGTACATTGATACGAAACGTCCCACAGATGAACGTAGCTCGTCCGAAGCTGCTCTTCATCTTGGGCTGAGGACATAAATATCACTACTACAGGCCACACTAGTGCTACGGTCATGAACATGGAGGTGCACAGTAACACTGAGAGGGGGATATCTCCCTGTAGGAGGGGGGGAGAATGGGGGGTAAAATGGGAACACGTTGGAGGAAAAATAACTGGCCAATACCTGCATGCTGTCCAAGTGATTCTGTATATGCAAAAAAGACCAATAACACAGTGACAAGAGATGTAAGAAACCAAAGCAAACTTTCACACTTACGAACAGTCTAGATCAGAACTGCTTTAAAAAGGCCGTAAGCCAAAAGAAAACCATGCAAAATCATCGATTAAGTCAACTCAAACACTCAAATGTGATAAACAATGGTACATGAGAATACATACATGTCTGTTAAATGCAGAAGTTAAAATTACTAGCTTGCCAGTGATAAGAACACAGAAAATATATAATAATTTCCTGTCTTTTAGAAGGAATTACAAAAAAAACTGGCTATGCCAATTAAGTATTTCTGAATACTCCTAATTAGGGCTGTCACGATTATTTGATTAAAATCGATTACTCAATAAAAGAAATTGATTAAAATGTACGTTTTCACGTCATTACAAAGCTATGTTCCACAGTCTAATGATTCTCCATAAGAGGGAGCTATCAGCACACAAACTACATTTAAAATAGAGGAAACCCACACCAGCAGGATCCAGTGTATATGAAATAAAAGAAGTTGTTAAATTAAGTCTAGGTGGACCAACTTGGCAGATAGTTAACAAGATAACAGGCTACTTCAGTAATTTTCAGTGTTACACTTATCTGAAGAATTTATTGTAAAACTAAAAAGTGTAAAGTAAAGAACGTCACTTAAATGTCTGTTGCAAGTTTCAAATGTCTGTATTTAAATAAAGTTAGACTACGTAGTATTAAACCTAGTGTGGGAAGTAAATCACACACAAGCTTGGCACTAAAATAATACTGAAAACATTGAAGCGCTGCATCATTGATGAAAAAAATTTAGCATCATCGTAGTAGTCGTACTGAGGATACTTATAAAGGGAAGATTTCAGCAGTAAACACTGCTATATAGTGCTATGCACTGCTGTGAAAAGTACATTAAAATACCTGCCTATGCAGAGAGAAGTTCATTTAATAACTGGCTCAAAGGGGTACCAATGTAATGCCTTTTAAGTGGGCATAAAAGACATACACTGAATTTCAGAGCTATCCTTTTTAAAATTGGTCAGTAAATTATTTTGAAATTATTTTGAAGTCCATTGCTATTGACTGGCACAGATTATTTGATTAATCATCAAAATAATCAGTACATTACTTGATTAATAATACAATCGACAGTGACAGCCCTACTCTTAATACTTTCTGTTAACCAAAAGAACCTTTATAATATCACTCATATGGTAGCCAGTGATGTCCACCAGTATGAGTTACTGTGGAAATGAAATGATGAGTACAGCAACTTTATCTCTAACTACAAGCTACAGACTGAGGCACACGTGCTTCACACACACACATACACCAACACAGACACAACTGCATTCTCACCTCTAACAAATGGACGGCACCTTCATGTTCCTTTTTGGCCTCAACCTGAGCCTGCAGTCAGAAGAAATGAATGTCACACAAACAATTCATATTGACATGAATATCACAAATATCAATCAATATCAAAACCTGGTCAAAGAACTAAGAAAGATTGTAGCAAATCCCATGTAGGCCTGTTCTTTTGAGAGCAAATAAAAAAAGAGAACTGGAGTGGATGAGTAGAGAAGTCAGTCAAAGCTATAATGAATGATCCAGAAATCTATACCTGCATTTAGCTGGAAGAAACCTGAAACAGTTCAATCAGTGCCTCTGTTCCTATATCTAATAGGTAATAAGTGTGTATATCTCTGACCTCACCATTTTATTCAATTCTGATTCTTTAGGAAATTAAATGCAACATGAAATCTTACATTTCAGAATTATGTTTAAATATAAACTGAATACACAAAGTAGTTATTTTCATAAAACTGCCAGTTATTTGTTTTGAGTAGCTGAAATAATAAAATTTGACAGTTATGTTGCTCAGCAACCACAGCCTATGGTAAACAAACTATACTGTGTAGCAGAAGAGTTGTTTATTGCAAAAATTATTAGTGAATTATTTACAGATCATTGGTGTATTTTATCATATTTTCTTAACTGCTTTATGATGCCTAATAACACTTGTGGTTAAATCAATGTAATGCCTTAAAACAACAGTTAACTGTGGTACAATCAATGTGATGGCTTATAATACCCCTTACATCACTCTGTAACCATGGCAAAATCACTGTAATGCCTTACAACACCAATTAACCATGGTAAATTCACTGTAACGCCCAACAACACTCCTTACAATGTGCTTTAACCTTGCTAAAATCACTGTAACACATTACAACAACCATTAACTGTGGTACCACCACTGTAAAACCTTACAACACCTAGTAACTGTGGTACCACCACTGTAAAACCTTACAACACCTAGTAACTGTGGTAAAATCACTGTAAAACCTTACAACACCAAGTAACTGTGGTAAAATCACTGATAAGCCTTACAACACCCCTTAACCATGGTAAACTCACTATAATGCCTTAGAACACCCCTTATCCCCTTAAATGGCCAGGGCCTGCCGGCGAGCCCAATGTTTTATTACACACGTCTATAATGTAAGAATATCTCCGTCAGTAATGTAATGCACAACCTATAATGACTTGATATAATAACAGACTTCAACATGCCAAAATCAATGCAGTTAAAGCTTCAGATTCAAGTACCACAATGCAACGATGCATTTTTACACCTATAAAATGTTGCACAACAAAAAAAAAAAACACAACATGTAGCTTCAGGTCAGCCAAGAAAGGACCCTTCTTTCCTAACACACTCAGAGCTGTGGAAGAGTGAACTTCATGCAGTGTTGACTCACGGCAGACTGCTTTCAGAAAGACTGTAGGTTTACGCAGTGAGAATGAACAGCAGCTGTTGAGAACAAAACTGATCCATATGGATAAAAGAACATCTGCTCAAACACATAAGCTTCGCTTCACATGCAATCAGAGCACCAACACAGAGAAAGTTCTCTGAAAAACAGTGTAATAAACAGCTTCAGCTGCCCTGAAATTATGTACAGAGACACAGCGGCCTGGCAGGATGGATGAGGAGGAAGAAAATTGTTTTAGATCGTGCTGTTTGTTTAGTGATTATACGGCTGGAGCGTGTGTGGGGGGCCCTTTGCTGTGGCGGGTTTCTGATTGCTTGCTTTCATAAAGGTGTGGGTGTATGTCTGTGTGAGTGCATATAATGTGTGTGTAAGGCTCTCTATGTGGCAAAAGTCACAGACTACCCTACATTAATTTAATTTCCAGTCAAAATGGCCATTAAGTACAAGCTAGCTGGGACTGGAGTTGCAAAAATTGCAACCAACTTCTAAGACTGAACTTTGGAGGTAGAAAAATATCCCTGCAGATTTCTATGAAATACTGAAAGCGAGTCTCCTGAAAAGAATGGAAGCTGGAATAAAGGTAAAGAGTGCAAAAGCAGAGAGAGCGAGAGAGAGAGAGAGAGAGAGCGAGAGAGAGAGTGTGTAAAACGTTACAGGGTGACTAATGTTCACACTCTCCACACACACTGTCAGATTTGATCACCTGCTCCACCGTTTCATTACTGAGCAATTTACTCTCCACAGCCACACACTGGAACTCTCCTCAGCTCCTCGACTGCATTCAGATCAGGCAGAAATGAACAGAGAGCATCACTGAGCTCTCTGAAATACGGCTGACGTACAGCTCCATTACAACCGTCCTGCTCGAGAAGAGGGCTGTGGTGACTGTGGTGAATTCTCTCATCATTCAGTGCTTACTGACTTTTTCCATTGTCCGTTAACCACTATAAGTTATCTCTGCTAGAAAAGCCAGCATAGACCATCATAGACATATGTTGTGTTTTGGGTGGCGGCATGCTGGTCAGCAGCAATGCAAGTTATGCTGATCACCAGCAAAACCAGCAAATGTTGTGTTTTGGGTGGCGGTACGCTGGTCAGCAGCAATGCAAGTTATGCTGATCACTGGCAAAACCAGCATATCGCTGCGGTCGGATCAAAACCTCCTATCTCCAAACTGGTAACTTTACAGGAGAAGGAAAAAACCTACTTTACTTTTAATGTAAGTCAATGGAACCAGACTTTTTTTCAAGTCATTTTAGGCCATTTCTTTTGGTCCGTTCATCATGAAATTTACACACAATGTAAAGGGCAACAGGTGCTTCCAAAGTATTTAAAAAACTGAAAAATGATCATCATAGACATATGATGAAAATGAAAATAAAAATGGAGATACGAGGTTTTGTTCCGACAGCAGGGATATGCTGTGTTTTGGGTGGCGGTACGCTGGTCAGCAGCAATGCAAATTATGCTGATCACCGGCAAAACCAGCATATGTTGTGTTTTGGATGCTGGTATGCTGGTCAACCAGCATGACCATGCTGGGTGTCAAGCTAAATCAGCACCAGACCAGCACTAGACCAGCAACTTTGCTGTTTCTTCAGCAGGAATATAATTACAGTAAACATTTTGCTACACTGTTTAAAATATAATAACATTTTTACCTGATCATTCAAAAACAAGAACCAAGTTAAACAGGAATGAACTAGTTATACTTCATTTCCTGTCATTTTGAGAGACATCTCGAACCATCATACATACATACATCATCTAAACCACTTATCCTTCTGGGTCGCGGTGTGGTGCTGGAGCCTATCCCAGCTGTCATTGGGCGGAAGGCAGGATACACCCTGGACAGGTCGCCAGTCCATCGCAGGGCAGACAGACAGACATACATATACAATCACACACACATTCACACCTAGGGGCAATTCAGCACGTCCAATCAGCCTGACTGCATGTTTTTGGACTGTGGGAGGAAACCAGAGTACCCGGAGGAAACCCACGCAGACACGGGGAGAACAGGCAAACTCCACACAGAAACGACCCGGCTGGGAATCGAACCCAGGCCATTGTTGCTGTGATCACAATTATTATTTTTGGTCATTTTAAGCCACTCTAATTCATTTCAGCTGACTCACCTGCTAGTTATAGTCAGCTTTGCTTATGGGCTGACATTAAATGCTACTGTTCTGGGTCCACACGCTCACAAACAGTCTACATTTATACAGACTTGTGTAAAGATTCAAGCAAAGCTCGCATTAGCAATCTTGCTACTAGTCAGTTTAGCTTAGCACTAGTTGTGCTGACCTGCCATTATACAGTTTACTTTTCTGCGCTCACACAAATATCTATCATTACAATTATGAGAATTCCAAGTAGAAGAAAACAAAGCTCTTTTTTTTCCTAACCAGTGTAAAAATGAGCAAAAACACCGTTCAGAGGTTAGCATACATGCTAATAAAGATTCCAGTAGTTTGTGCAGACGAAATCTGCCTTGACCTACACAATAAGCTACATTTACGTTTGATTACATTTAACAGGATTTTCCCCTTTTCAGTTTGTTTCTACTTTAAAAAAGGATAAAAACATCATAAAAATTTAAAGGATGTTATTTTTCTTACTGCAAAAACAAGAATGTATGCACAACAATCATAATAAAATGAACAAAAAATCCCCTTATTTACTCTTTAAAGCAATTTCTTATAATTAAACAATCACAACATGGTTTTGTTACCACTGTCAAAAACTGCGACTTCTAAGCGATACTATGAAGACAGTCAATAACTGTAGGACTTTTATAGAGAATATGATGACATTATATACAGCAATTCACAACATCTACACACAAAATGCTCTTGTACTTTATAAACAGTCTATTAAATTGCATTTTGGAGGCTTAGATACTCTGAAAATTCTAAAAGGTTCAACACCACTGACTAGCGAAGATTACAACTGGACAAAAAGGGGGAGAAAGTCCATCCATAAAGGTTCTTCGGTAGAGGAGAGTATTTATAGTCAGAAGCGATTACTCCTGGGAGTAATTCTGATGCCTGGTAACAATCCGCCCAGGCCTGAATGCAGAAATGTGGTATTCGCTCTGAATCCAAATGAAGCCTGGCAGGTACAGGACACAGCTGACCCTGCCAGAAGAAAGAGCATGACCTGCAACCCCCGGCACACCAGTCAAATAAATAAATTAATAAATAAAAACAAACAGCTCTCCACACTAAGGTTTCAAACCTTGGCTGGAGCTAAAGGTTATTTCCATGGTCAATTAATTAATGGACTATTATTCAATAGAATAAGCAAACCTTAATGCCACCTGCAGTTTCATCTCACTTTGCTCCAGTCACAGCACCACATCACTCAAAGTACTGCATGTGTGATGTATTTTTTTGTGGTGCAATGAAACAACAGAAGCCATACTGAAACCGGCGTAACTAGGATAAAAAAGGATGACTATTTTGCAAAGACATGGTAATCTGCAGTCTTCATCACTAAAACTAGCCAAACCAGTGTGAAGCACAGAATTACAGTAGAATCAAGACATTTTTAACAGATAAATGATCAAAACTTGAATAGAATTTTGACCTCAGAACTGAAAACTGTATCAAAGCTAAAATATTTGTTTCATTACACCCCTATTTGTCAATGTGCTACAAAATATAAACAAAATATATTTCAATGCATTTTAATACATTGCAATTTACATGGATTGGGCCACCTAATCAGTTCAAGTTCTATGCCATCCAAGTTCTAGGCATTTCCGCTAGAATGAAGCAATGACAGCTTGGTCTACTGTGTTCATACTGTCCGAACACAGTGTATGAGCGTAGAAGAATCTTCACGTAATGTAAGGGTTTCATACCAATTAAACGTTTTTACTAGAACCGTACACCCAAGCCGAGAACCTTTCTCCAGGTTATATTTTGTTTTTTCCATCTGAATTTACATGATCAAATCGTAAGGCAAATTATTCAGTAACTGCATGAAATAAATGTAAATTTTTATTTTATTTATTTATTTATTTTTGTTAAAAGCTCCCCTCAAATTAACAGAAAATGTGTTTTATGATCACACATATTGCTATATGCTTACAATTTACTGCTGAAAGCCAGACGCTCTTTTAGATGCTCTTTGTATTATTTTATAAAAATCATTTTTACAGAGCAGATCACTGAAGAGACGCCATCTGTTTATACTTTATAGCCCAGATTTGTGGAAAAGTGGGTCGACTTTCAGTAGACAAAAAAATTGTGAGTTCAGCTTCTTTTATTATAAGGGTTTAAAATTACATCACCAATCTGTTTGACTGGAAAGAAGACAGTTACAACTCTCATACGACCCCCACCTTTTGAACGTAGCTTATGAAAAAAAAAGTTATGAAGAATATGACGAAGTGCGTTTTGGAACCACCGGTGGTCTCAAGGAGTTGAAGAGGTTAAGATTGTATACACTGTTCACACGACAAGCAGATTACCTACCAACTCATAATAGGTACTTTTCCAGTTTTATGAGATGATGAGGACCGTGTTAACAATTTACCTGAACCCTCCTACATAACACTGTTATAACTGTGCTATAAACATGAAATAGCAGATGTTACATGCTGTTATGAGTTGCTAGGACAGATAATGTCAAGTACTGTAACAGTCTCATAAGACTATTATCGGTAATTTTCGTGACAAGCTGTAATGTTTAATGTCATGATAGTTTGTGTCACATGCTAATTTTTGCTAGTTAGCATATGATTTATGACAGATGTTGATATAATAAAATTCTTAATTTTGTTGACATTTTTTGTTTCCTACATGTTCAAAATGTTAACTGTGATTACTCCAAAACAATCTGCCCTACACACTTAAAAACATGGTTCTTCAAGGGTTCTTTTGTAAAGAAAATGGTTCTATATGCACTGCGAAAAATGGCTCATCAGATCTACCTAAAAATGACTTTGTGTGTTAACAAGTAAATTAACTAGTTATAGTAATTTGAATGACTGAACAATTCTTTCAATCAAAGTAATTTTTTGAGTTGAATAAACTAGTTTATTGCTTACAAAGTATTTTTTTAGGTTGATCTAATGAGCCATTTTTTAAGTGTAGAACCATGAGCTCTCAAAGGACCCTTTGCATGATAAAAGGGTTCTTTGCATCATAAAATGGTTCTTCAGATTGATGGAGAATGCGCTTCAGATGGTTCTATATGGAACCTTTTTGTAAGGGTTCACTAAAAACTGGCTCGTCAGATCTACCTAAAAAAAATGACTTCATGTATTAACAAGCGATTGAACCAGTTTTATTCAACTTGAATAAATACTTTGAATGAAAGATTCTTTCAATCAATGTACTTTTTTAAGTTGAATAAAACTTGTTCAATTACTTGTTAATACATGAAGTCATTTTTTAGGTAGTTCTGACGAGCCAGTTTTTACATAATTATAGAAGTACCCTTTTTGGTGCTATTTAAAACTCTTTTCAAAAAGGTTCTATACAGAACCACATACAAAAGATTCTTTATGAATCTGAAGAATGATTTCACAATGCAAAGAACCTTTTAATCATGTAAAGGATCCTCTGAGTGTTCATGGTCAATTTGAGTAAACTGAACATAGTAAGTCAAACAACATGCAAAACAACAATCTGTGTCTTACACTGTATTATGTAAATTTATCTGACGTGTAACTAAGTTACAGTTTTAAGTCAGCCATGTTATTTTAATTTTCTATTAATATTAGCCCATTTCACAATGCTCTGCACTACAGTCCCCAGCATGCACTGCAACATTATGTGCACTCTGATTCTCCTACCCCAACAACAGTCTATGGGACGGTGGTTACACCTCAGTTCTACACCATTCCACACCAGTCATAACAACAAACACAATAACCGCATTTACACTTAAAGTCAGCTCAGCAGCTCAGAAACTGAGCCCAAGTCTTAACGAACGTGCAGCAAGGAAAGGATGCCAGGTGTCTAGTTCAAGCACATCGGTAGGTTTAACAGACTGAGCTCCTCGGGATGTTTAAATTTTGAATATTTCAAGCATTCATGTAATATTTCAAGGTTACTACAAGTGCTTATATTTTACTGCGTGAGTTTTTGCGTATTTTGAATAAACAGTGGCCAGTTGGGGTTAAAACGCAACTTTGAGTGAAAATGAAATAATAACACACACACACACACACACACACACACACACACACACACACACACACACACACACATCATCTAAACCGCTTATCCTTCAGGGTCACGGTGGGGGTGCCCTGCGATGGACTGGTGACCTGTCCAGGGTGTATCCTGCCTTCCGCCCAATGACAGCTGGGACAGGCTCCAGCACCCCACCGTGAAATAAAAACTTTTTTCTCTTTTTTTTTCTCACAGATTTGTTGAGATTTTTTAATATCACCTCTTTAGTGATTGAGTGTGACACCCCCTTGCCCCATCATAAGCAGACTGTGGGTTTGAACTCCAGTAATGCCAGAGCTGTCCTGAACCAAGAGACTGGAACATGTGTGGTGGGGAAGTTGAGTGATTTATTTTAAAATATATGCAGCATTAAAAAATGTCTTTTTTACGTTTTGTTTTTTGCTTTTAATTGAACTGAGAAGTTTGGGTTGAGTGAATGCTATTGCTCTCAGGTTAACACAGAAGAGGCAGCGCAATAGGTTGACATATAATTTAAATTTGAGCTGACTGCATTTTTTTACAGTGTCCAGTGAACAGTGTGTATTGGTGCTGTACTCAACAAACATGTTTTGACAATTGTCATGACAAGGACTTTGTGATGCTGTGACAGACTGGGGAAAAACATGTCATAAACATGTTTTTTGATAACAATGACAACATGGCATTGTTATATCCTGTCATGAAAACTGTGACATCTGTCATGACATGTTTATGGCACGTTTCTCAAACTGCCGTGAACGAGCTCTCATGAAATCTGCCATATAATACACGCCAACTGAAGGTCAATTAGCAAAAATTAGCATGTGCCATAGGTGGTCATGACCTCAAACATCATGACATCTGTCATGAAAATAAACGGCAATGGTAACATGACACTGTTATAATTACAGACAGATTCTGTCATTACAACTGACATGTTTATGGCATGATTATGTCAATGTTATGTAGCAGGGTTCAAGTAAAGTGTTACTAGGAGCATCTGAACATGGCAACGGCCGACCAGCATGGCGTGATTGGGAATTATCTACCCCCGGCTGTAGGAAGATGCCAGCAGCATAGGCAGTGTTACAAAGCCGCTGGACCTTTGACCCCAAAACAAGCAGAGCTGGACCTGCCGTCTGCTCCAACCTCTCACCTTCTGCAGAAGGTCGATCTCCTGCTGCTTGGCACTAAGGACGGCCAGGGCCTGCTCATGCTCCAACTCTAACTGCTGCCTCCTCTCCGCAGCCTCACGCATATGCTACGGCAGAGAGAGAGAGAGAGAGAGAGAGAGAGAAAGAGAGAGAGAGAGAGAGAGAGAGAGAGAAAGAGAGAGAGAGAGAGAGAGAGAGAGATGAATGTGTTAATTGCTTTGGCAATAATGAAAAATGTAACATTCATGCCAATAAAGCACTTCTGAACCAGAAGTCAAAAGAGACAGGCAGTGAAATAAGAAAGAGACACATAGAGAGAAATGAGGGAGAGACACAGAGAGAGAAATAAGAGAGACACAGAGAGTGAAATGAGTGAGAGACACAGTGAGTGAAATGAGTGAGAGACACAGACTGAAATGAGAGAGACACAGAAAGTGAAATGAGAGAGAGACAGAAAGTGAAATAAGAGTCACAGAGAGTGAAATGAGAGAGACAAAGAGAGTGAAATGAGTGAGAGACACAGAGAGTGAAATGAGAGAGACAAAGAGAGTGAAATGAGTGAGAGACACAGAGAGTGAAATGAGAGAGAGACACAGAGAGTGAAATGAGAGAGAGACAGAAAGTGAAATAAGAGTCACAGAGAGTGAAATGAGAGAGACAAAGAGAGTGAAATGAGTGAGAGACAGAGAGTGAAATGAGACAGAGAGTGAAATGAGAGAGAGACAGAAAGTGAAATAAGAGACACAGAGAGTGAAATGAGAGAGACAAAGAGAGTGAAATGAGAGACAGCGTGAAATGAAAGAGAGAGACAGAGAGAAATGAGAGAGAGACACAGTATAATAAGAGAGTGAATGAAATAAGAGACACAGAGAAAGAAAAGAGACACAAGTGAAATGAGAGAGACACGGCGCAAATTGAGAGAGCGACAGTATAATAAGAGAATGAATGAAATGAGAGATACACTGAGTGAAATGAGAGAGAGACAGGGTGCAAAATGAGAGAGAGCGATATGAGACACACAGAGAGGGAAAGAGAGACAGAAAGTAAAATGAGACACGGAAAGTGAGAGAGACAGAGAGTGAAATAAGAGAAACACAGAAAAAGAGAGAGACAGTGAAATGAGACAGAGAGTGAGAGAGACACGGAGTGATGAAGAGCTGCAGAGACTGAGAGACACAAAGCGAAATGGGTCAATATAATTTTAGATTTAGATATTTTTTTTTATTTTATGTAACAGGTTTAGTTAAACAGAGCCTACTGACTGATACGACTGTCAGCTTTCACTTATCACACCTCTTAATCAAATAAAAACCCAAATCAACAGCACCAACTCACCTTAAACTACAAAGACCTACAGCACTGGGGCAGGGCTACCCAGAATTCTTTGCAAATTATTTTTTTTTGTTAGTTACCTTTTATTTTTTCTCATTTTTCATTTTCTTTTCTTCTGTTTCTAAGAACATCATACATGTTCTTAGTTGAATGGTGACGGTGTTCTGTGTTCAGATTCTCCAGTTCAGTCTGTATTGATGTCATCCAGTTAAACAGGAGTTATAGCTCATTACAGGTGCATTACCAGCACTATTTTCTCTGATACTGATACAAGCGCGGGCTGTCAATATTGCTATATAGGAGTGAGAAAAAGAGGAATGGAAAAACAGAAATAAGAAGAAAATGAATGGAAGAATGACCTTAATGGCAAAAACGAGATAACAAGCAGATAAATAAAGCAGAGAGAAAGCAGACAGATAGCTCTGTTAGTGACCTAGTGATGACCAAACCAGCCAACTCAGCAGAGCATCTGCAGCTTTGTGAAAGGCCAGCAGGATCTTCTTCACACTGCTGGAGACACATTCATATCATCATCTCCACATTTACCACCTAACCCTGCTCACTTCAAACCAGCGGTGTAGCCAGAATTTCATTTTAGGGGTGGAGATTATGATACTCTTATAGAACTGACAATTATGATACTCTTATAGAACTGACAAAGCACTAATTAGAACTGACAAAGCACTAAAAAGTGCAAAAAAAAAGACTTTCATTGATTTGTATTCACCATTTCACACACTGTGCTGCACTAAATCCAATTAACACCTTAAAATCACAGGCTTATTATATACTAGGGCTTATTATTCAGTAGCTACAGGGACTTCAGTGCAAACTGGCTGTGCTAATCTTAGGTTACAGAAGTGTGTAACGAAATTTAGGCCATTTAAGGGGTTAAACAGGACTCATTACGCTCTCTTTTGTGACCAGTGTTCTTGAAGAACTAAGGGACACAGAGAGTGAGAAAAGCATACTGTGACATCATTTATCACAATAATGAGAATATATTGGCTGTATCTGAGGCATAACACACGCAGCCTACTCATACAGTGTCCTGAGGCAGAAAGGCACCAAGTCTTGACCGAACTGAATATTTATATAAAACACTGCCCGCTGAGGTTCCTCTGTTCGGACGTTTTTATAGGCAGCTAATACTTTGTGTCAGTGCAGATGCAGTTAGGAATAAATAGCAGAAAACAGCAGGACTGACACAGTGGAGGACAGAGACTCCAGGTTTGTGTGCAAATACAGTGCTTTTTATTTTGGTTATAGCATTTTTTTTCCAGGTAAAAGATACATCTAATGCTAACCGCTAACAATGAGCTGTTGTATCTTGGCAATGATGTGATGTATCGCTGCCTTTGAAGTGCGTCTCAAACACGATACGGTTGTTGGTACCTGACTTGTGAGACAGCGCAGGCAGCAAGGCATCGAGACAGCTGCCTTCAGTTCAGGATGCCCACTCCAGGCCTGCCTCCTACCTTTCACAGTAATAGGCATGAATGTCTGAGGGAAACAGGTGTAAGACCGTGAAGTTTCTGGTGAATTGTTTTGCAGTACTGAACTATTGACTACAGTCAACTACTGCTCTTGCTAGCCTGGAAGTCTATAAGGATCAGCACAGCTCAGCTAAGCTCTCACAATCAGGAGACGGAGGCTGGCTTGAAAAAAGACCTGCTGAAAAATGAGAGAAAAAAACATGAACATGAAAAAGTACATGTTGAGAAAAAGTACTGAATTGGGGGCAGACTGACTGTTTTATGCCTTTGCCAATTTCATTTTGGCATTAAAAAGTGTCATGATTTCCTAAACAGGCACAACGGTCCAAAGGGCCGTTCACTGCCCTCTTGTGCTTTTGCCTCATTGTAGATGCTTTTATAGGTGTTTCCTTCTGAAAGCACAAAACACTGGGAGGAGATTATAAAAAACCACTTACACTTTACTGAGGTAGTAAATACTGACTGTTCGCCTGAGAAAAACTCCTTCTGAAAAATCTTACTTTTGGTGCTCACTAACTGCCATGGTTTGAGCTCAGAAAGAAAAAAAAGAGCGATTTTTAAACACATTTGTTATTTTTTCCATTGAAAAAAGAAGACTTGTACAGGCCTGCCATGCATGCCAAGTTGATGAAGGAAAAAAAAAAAACTAAAACCAAATATTTTTTAGAAAAACAGTGTTTTAAACAGCTATTTTCTAATACTTTGGGTAGATTTTACACTACCAAAGCGCAGTTTTGACTAAATAATAATTGAGACTCTGGCTTTGTGAAGCCTGCTAAAGCTACTCCTTACTTTATTATTCATGCACACTCTGGTGTCTGTGGTTTATGTGTGCGTGTGACAGAAATGTCATTGCAATTCTTTGATGTACGTAGATAAAAGGTTACGCTCAAAATCATACAATTCCCAAACGACTAAGTCAAAATCTTGAGAAAATAAGCCATTATTTTGATGTAATTAGACATGGCAAAAAAGGCTTTCATACAAAAAGCATGTGAGAAAAACAGGTGTTTATATTCTGTTGGTCATATATTACAAAGTCAAGTTTTCTGTTCTATGTTTTAGGCAATCAGAAATCCAAGTAGGGTGGCCTAGACCCTGCCAGGACCCCCATTATGTTTCCTGTCTCCTGCTTTATACATTGATCCATACTTTAACAAAAATATCCACAAATAAATTTATAAACAGTTATAAATTTTTGTGTTGATTATTTTGCATCTCTTGTTGTGGATTTAGCTGGGGGTATTTATAGTTAACTAAAACTATTACTAAAATGAAAACTAACAGTGAAAAAATGTGCTTATTAACTGTAAAAAATTAAAACGAGTTTCCAAAAACACAAAAAGTAAATCAAAACTATAATCTCCACTGCAAACTATATAAAATGAAATAAAATTGCCGAAAAAAAAAACATGAACAAGAGTTTAGAAGTGGATCTGTCTTTAAGGGAAGCTAGATCTGAAATGAGCTCAGTCTACTGTTGTGTTAATTTTACTCTATTCTTATCAAATACTTGCTATCACAGCATTCACCTAATACTAAAACTGAAACTAAAACTAAAGAGAAACTATACTAAAACTTTTGTAATATTAGGAAAATATAAACAAAAGTACTAATGCACTCTTAAAACTAACTGAAACTAAAGTGAAACTAAATAAAAACTAAACAAAACTATTAACACACCCTTAAAACTAACTGAAGCTAAACTAAGACTATTAATGCACCCTTAAAACTAACTGCAACTAAACTAAAACTACAAACACACACTTAAAACTAACAAAACTAAACTGAAACTAAATAAAAACTAAAGTAAAACAATTACTTTTCAGAAAATCAAAACTAAAACTACTAACACACCCTTAAAATTAACTAAAACTAAAGTAAAATTAAATAAAAACTAATCTAAGACTATTAATGCACCCTTAAAACTAACTGCAAATAAACTAAAACTATTAGCACCTGTTAAACTAACTGAAACTAAAATAAAACTAAATAAAAACTAAACTAAAACTATTAATGCACACTTAAAACTAACTAAAACTAAATTGAAACTAAATAAAAACGAAAGTAAAACAATTACTTTTAAGAAAATCAAAACTAAAACTACTAACACACCCTTAAAATTAACTAAAACTAAAGTAAAATTAAATAAAAACTAATCTAAGACTATTAATGCACCCTTAAAACTAACTGCAAATAAACTAAAACTATTAACGCACCTGTTAAACTAACAAACTAAAATAAAACTAAATAAAAACTAAACTAAAACTTAATGCACACTTAAAACTAACTAAAACTAATTGAAACTAAATAAAAATGTAAGTAAAACAATTACTTTTCAGAAAATAAAAACTAAAACTACTAACGCACCTTTAAAGCTAACAAACTGAAGTGAAACTAAATAAAACTAAACTAAAACTATTAACACACTCCTAAAACGAACTGCAACTAAACTAAAACTATTAATGCACCTGTTAAGCTAACTGAAACTAAAATAAAACTAAATAAAAACTAAACTAAAACTATTACTGCACCCTTCAAACTAACTGTAACTAAACTGAAATCAAAAACCAAAGTGAAAAACTAGATAAAAAATAAAAACTAATGATAATTTCAAAACCATAGTAACTCTTGGATTTAGGTATTTTGTCTATGTAACACATACAAAAGAATACAGCTGTGGCTGAAATGAGTGTTTAGGTGACCTAATTTGAAAACACAGTGAAAAATACTGCATATTAACATGCAGGTCAACAAACTGAGATCAGACACCCAGTCAATGTCCATCAACCTTTGGCAGGCAGAATGATCTCACAGCCATTCCACGTTCAGAGCCAGCGCCCCTCTGGCCGCTAATAGCCACAGTGAGTTCATGTAAGGTGTATCGCCAGCATAAATTAGCTCCATTATGGATGAGCCCTCACACCTGCAGGGTCTCTGCTGAATAATTGTGTATAATCTTTACTCATCCACTCAGCTCCACTCCGCTGTGCCAGCCAGTCATTCAGGTTCCATACCAGCACACAGTACAGCTGCCAGTGCTCAGACTCCAGCTTTACATTCAGCAAAAGAGCGTTTTTACTCTGTCAACCACAAAATGAAAGTGTCATTTTTGTCCAATAAATGCCAAATATTTCAACTGAAAAAAGTTATACTGTTTCGATTTGCTTCTCTTTTTTTCCTGAGGCTGTTTTTGTTACTGTGCCTAACATGTCGCTGTCGGTGGAAGAAAACCTAAACGGTACCTTTACAGGAGAAGGAAAAAACCTACTTTTCTTTTAATGTGAGTCAATGGAACCAGACTTTTTTCCAAGTCATTTTGGGTCATTTCTTTTGGTCCATTCATCATGAAATTTACACAAGGTTTTCTTCCGATAACAGTGATATGTAAATACAACAGAGATGACCAGCTGTCCTGCATTCAAAAAGATGTCCAGGCTGAAACACTCTTTATAACTTCTGTGTGAGTGGGCGGGGCTAAACTGAAAGCTGTAGGCTGAATAGGTGGATGTATGACATCACAAAAACAATGAATTCAAAATAGACTTTTCGAACCTTGCCTGCATTTTTGGACTGTTTGGACTGGACAGTTAACTTGTTTGCAATGATTATAAACTACATCAAATTCTCTTTTTTTTACATGACATGGGCCCTTTAATGTGAAATAAGCCCACAGCAAAATGTCAAAATATAACATGTTACAAATCACTTCATTGAGACTAATGAGAATCAGAAACAGCGATTAAAATATGCTTTGCTCTCCCATAATTTAACACTGAAATAAACAGGAGGAGGATGGTTGACAACATGATTCAGTCCCAAAAGTAAGCATTAGGTAATGACATTATAATTATCAGTAATTACTGGTACAGAAACATCATGATCAAATTTCTGGCCATAGTGCACAGGCCTACCCTGAAAAAAGTGATGTACTGAATTTGCCTGATTCAAATGTTTACATCATTTGCACATGGATGAACTAGATTACCTCAACATAGTGAAGTGAAAGATAAAGCGGGGGTACTCTAAACGGGCACTTTAAAGGGGCACTCCAGCCTAAAACTAGAATTTAATAGATTCTTTGTCATGTTATGTAATATGCCATATTGCAGCACTGAATCCCTCAGCATCAGAATTTTGTATCGTTTTTGTGTTTTTGTCGATCAGTCTTCTCACTACAAGTAAAGTTTATGTATATCGCTGTTGTCAGAATCTCACATCTCCAAAATGGTAATTTTACAGGAGAAGGAATAAACGTAGCTTACTTTTAATGTAAGTCAATGGAACCAGACTTTTTTCCAAGTCATTTCGGGCCGTTTTTTTTAGTCCATTCTTCATGAAATTTACACACGATGTAAAGACCAACACAATGTTCTTCAGCTTTTGACAGAATTTCCCCCAGTTAATATATTGTACAGGTGTGCAAATGATGCGCACATTTGAATCGATTAAATTCAATGAACCAATTTGTATGTATAGAGCACTTCTTTAGCGTATGGAGAAAGTGTTCCTCACCTTCAGCACCTGCTCTAGGTTCTCCAGTTTGCCTTGGAGCTGAGTCCTCTCCCACAGAGCACAATCTCTCTCCACAGTCACAGCACACAGAGCGGCCCGCAAACGCTCATACTCACTCTGCACCTGAGAGAGAGGGAGAGAGACAGAGAGAGAGAAGAGGGAGAGGGATATAAAGGAGGGGAGAGAAAGAGAGGGAGAAAAGCGAGAGGGAGAGAAGAGAGAGAAAGGGAGAGAGAGAGAGTCAGAGAGAGACAGAGAGAGAGAGAGAGAGAGGGGGGGGGAGAGAAATAGAGATGGAGAGGGAGAGACAGAGAGAGAGGGAGAGAGAGAGAGAAATAGAGATGGACAGGGAGAGAGAGGGAGAGAGAGAGAGAGAGAGGGAGAGAGAGGGAGAGAAAAACAGAGATGGAGAGGGAGAGAGAGAGAGGGAGAGAAAAATAGAGATGTAGAGAGAGAGAGAGGGGGGAGGGAGAGAGATAGAGAGGGAGGGGGAGAGGGAGAGAGAAATAGAGATGGAGAGAGAGAGAGAGAGAGAGAGCGGGAAAGGGTCAGTATTAAGCTCGATTTGTCTCTTGTCTATCCTGCGGTCAGTGTGTTTACTAAACTGTTGTGAGAGCGTCTGAAGATTAGAGATGGTCTCGTCTCTCCTGTGTGAAACAGATTGGACGTCTGTCCCTCAGCGCGGCGTCCCAGAGCGCAGTGACATTTCCCTCGGGTCAGGAGGTGATCCTGAAAAAAACACTCCACTGTGGGGTGGTTCAGGTGACCGAGTCTGACCTCATCAAAAAGCTGATCGGAGATGAAAGTGGAATTACAGGGAAGAATAGCTGCTCAGTCTGAGCGTTTAAGGCCAGTCTGTGCTCTTTTCTCTTTCTCTCTCTCTCTCCTCTTTCTTTCTCTCACCCCATCAACTCTCTCTTTCCTCTTTCTTTCTCTCTCTCCACCAACTCTATCCCTCTCTCCCCTTTCTCTCTCTCTCTCCTCTTTCTTTCTCTCACCCCATCAACTCTCTCTTTCCTTTCTTTCTCTCTCCACCAACTCTATCCCTCTCTCCCCTTTCTCTCTCTCTCCCCTTTCGTTCTCTCTCCCCAACAACTCTCTCTATCCCCTTTTTTCTTTCTCTCTGTTCCTCTCTCCCATTTCTTGTTCTATCTCTCCCCCACTACCTTTTCCCCTTTCTCTCTGTCTTTCTCTCTCTCTCTCACCCACTTTTCACTTTCTCTCTCCCTTTTATTCTCTCTCTCTCTCCTCTCTCTCTCTGTGTGTGTTCTGCTCTGTTCCCTAATAGTACAGGAGGGTAGTAGAGACTGTAGCGTGGTTTCACCATCTGGACACAGAACAGACAGACTGAGGAGCTACAGAAACACTGGGTATGTAGATGTGGAGTGAAGATACAACCAGAGCTGGACTTTGAAATGAAATACTTTTAAGGTAATTAATTACTTTAGCTTGTCAGAGTATCTGAAAATGTGATATTGGCATTGGTAAAATTCAGTATCATGATATTTTCCAAATATATCACAGTATCAGGTGATATAAGTTAGCATTCATAAAGTTAATGTGGCCATGCTTAGTGAGTGCTGATCCTCTATGATAACAGAACGTCTTACAAACCTGGCAAAGGGAACGTTTTTCTGGAGGCGGGACCAGCTGTGCTACCCAGCTATTTTGGTTCTATTGCTAGCGCTGCTGACAGCAGTACTGTTGTTGTGTTTAAGTTAGGACTATTAGTAGTGCTGCTAGTAAAAACAAGCTAAACTGCTACAAAAAAGCCCCTTTTTATTCATGTTGCGCCGATTTTGCTCTGTGTAATCGTACATACTAAGCTAATACTTAATAACTGGTCATAAAGCGCACAGGTCAAAGGGATCAACAAAAAGTCAGCCTGGATACAGTCAAATATGAAGCTGAATATTTAGTGCATAATTTCTATTGATTTTCTGAGTTTAACATATTGGAACAAATAAAACATAACAGGCCACAACTGACTACATATGCCTACTCTTGCTGCTATGTTTAATAAAAGAGCATTTATCTGAAGCGCTGTTTCCCGTGTCTTCTTCTACGCCGACACTGATACATATATATCGAAACAAAACCTCGTATCTCCGTTTTTGAGTTTTTGACATAATTTGAAAATAAATGTTGCCCTTTACATTGTGTGTAAATTTCATGATGAATAGACCACAAGAAACAGCCCAGAATGGTAAAGTTACCATTTTGGAGATACAAGGTTTTGTGTGTGTGTGTGTGTGTATGTGTGTGTGTGTGTGTATGTGTGTGTGTGTGTAATGCAGCAGCTCTTAAGATGGCTCTGGAGAAGGTAGGTAGGTTTCGAATCAAATGTGTAAAACTTTATTTTATATTTTAACACTATGTTTGTTCTGTCACTGAGTATGGGGGTGGGCAGCCCCAATATAAGATTCAGACTTAGCATCAACTGGTAAATCTGTTCAGCTATTTCAAGCTGCTGACAGATACAAGGTTTTGTTGTTTTGTTTTGTCGAGGTATGTATATATATATATATATATATATATATATATACCTCGAATACATTAAATTCAGAAAATAAACAGCTATTGTGCATTTAAACGTACAGGAATTCTCTGCAGAGGACGTGTTCACTTATTTACACTTAGAAAGTCAACAAAACATATCATTTGACCAGGGGCCCCAAAACTTTTTCTCAAAAAATTAAACAAACAAACAAAGGACTCTCTTTCATGGCAGGTGTGCTCAGCAGTAGAGTACATGCTTGGAGGCATAGAGAGCAGGAAGGTCAGAATCAGTATTGATCACACTGTCAGCACTGATAAAACGGCCAGGTTATCACTCACGCACACACACACAGACACACACACACACCATCGCATATCCAAAACAGGACTCCTGAGCCTCAGACTCCTGAACCACCTACTCAGCTGCACCATGAAAACAGCACAGCAGCAGGAGTGTCAAATGCACTGCATCCATCTGAAGGTGGCAATTCAACTACATCAGTTTTGGAAAACTAACTGACCGTGCTCAGCCCACATATGCGATCTTTTGTCTTGTAACTGTTAAGTTGGAAAAGCTTTACAGAATGTTGGCCAAAAAATCTCTTTTAACCTAATAAATGTAGGTCAGAGTTTGGAGACGCTACAACTTTGAGTTTCCAGGTTAAAATGTTACAAGACTGAGCAGAACTGTGCTGTTGTAGATCTTCAAAATTAGGCAATCCGGTAAACAACAACAGATTTTCCACCATGCTAATGTTAGCTCAACTAAATGACCGATCTGTCTGAACAGTGTGACCTTTCCTACACATACAAAATAAATATCACCTGAAACCACAGGAGAATTCTCAAAATAGCAGCATAATTCAATGCTTATAATGTAAACGGAGTGATCTGAAGTGGTTTGATTTATGTAATGGTTCATAATGGTAGAGAAACTTACTGCAGAAAAATGTTAATATTAGCTAAGAGTACAGTAAGTAAATATGAAATTATATTAAAAAATCTAAAATATACAAAAAAACAATAAAAAAATATTTTTTTTTCTAAATTTCAGCTTAGAGGTGTAAGCAAAGTCATTCAGAGAGGTTTGATGTGAAATGATCCATTGAAGAGAAATTTACAGACTTACAGAACCAGGGGTCACCATGTCTACAACACAAACACAGCCATTTTATTTACTATCCACAACCACCAGACAACCTACACGTGCCTTCTGAGTTTTCTATGTAATGTTATTGATGGTAAAATAGTGTTAAATCTGAAAACATAAGCTCTAACATAAGCATAAGCTTTTTTGGGGGACTATTTTGCCTCATAGCACCCTGCATGTACCTCATTAATGGATAAAGAAGCGATTTAGGCCAAAACCTTCTCTAGACTATTGTAAAACGATGTCTCAGACATCTGGACATGTATTTGTAACCGTTTAGAGTATAATATCTTTCTGTGAGGGAGCTTTTGGAAGCATTACGTTCTTCAGAGGTCTGGTTCCTATCACCACCACTGTGAAAAACTCCGATTCAGTAAGACTCTCTAAAACAGAACATTATACATAAAACCACTTTGAATGAACTCGTTTAGACCTCAATGACTAAATCATGCAGAAATTTTGAAATATTCATGTAATTCCCCTTTAATAACGTACTATACATAGAAGTATTTTGGCAAAATTGCAGTTCACTATGGTTTCATATTAGGTTGAATGGGATTTTTCCAATGTTTTGACAATGGTAGCTATGAAAGAACTCATTTGTAGCTGGAGAACAGAAAGATTAATTACTTCCACTGTATCAATATCATGTTTACATTATTCTGTTTACCACCCTGTTTAAGCACTGTACGCCCACGTAGGCTTATGTATTACATGTTCTCCTGGACTCCCCACATACATACATCATACATCATGAAGCAAATATGTGTGTCTAAATAGGCCCATATTACTACAAACAGAAAATGCTCTGTTATCTGAGGTTATGCTGTAATAGCGCAAGGCAAAGCACTGCAAGGCAAGCAGTAAATATTATCAATCTAGCGTGAAATATCTCTCTAATGATATCACATTTCCCCTGAGCTCACTAAAGCCTGCTGCTTAGCGCTACATAGGGAACTGTTACAGTCCCTTTCCAGGCCGATCTCTCTCTCTCTCTCGCTCGCTCTCTCTCTCTCTCTCTCTCCCTCTTTCCCTCTCTCTCTCTCTCTCTCTCTCCTGCATTTATAAATGTGTAATGAGGGCAGAGACTTTGTTTTGCAACAACAGCATTTGACACGCCTCCTTCTGTCTCCTCAACAAAGACCAACTCAGACACAACTAAACGATTACCTATAGCGCAGGTTACAGGGCTGGCCGTTCAGACAGACATACCTAAGCGAATACAGACTGGAGATGTTAAACTAACAGAGCCCAGACTGCGATGAATCACGGGTGCACGGATCGAAGGCAAAAGTAATGGAGCACAGACAGCAGAAAAGTGCTGATATTAGATTTAGCTAAGAGTACAATATGTAAATGTGAAATAATATTTCAAAAATAAAATATACAAAAACTAATTAAAAAATCAATAAAATAAATCAATATTTTGGCATGATTTAAGCAAAATCATTCAGAATGGGTGGATGTGTAATGT